GCTACAACACTCTGACTTGTAATTAAAAACTCAGGTTCTCAATAACAAGCTAGTGTATTTGTAGGAATATGAAACACTGACATAACATGGCCAAATATGCCTGTCATGCTGCACAATAAATGCAGTAAGATGTAGTCAAATAATTTATAAAACCTTTATGTAGCCCACCTGCACACTGAGGTCACATCAAATTGGTCAGTGACCATTAAATCACAAAAACATTATCTTCAACAAATGAACAATATCCTGCTTGATGTTTTCCTCCTTTATCTAATACAATAAAATTTGTAATAGAATCCCAGAACTAAACCTCAAATACCACACTGAAACCAAATAAACTGAACTTACTACAAAAATGTCTTTTTTATTTATTTTAAGATGAAACCTACTCTTAGCAGCCCCTGTTACTAGAAATTCCTTCAGAATACTAACATCAAGCATTATGTCTCTTTTAGAAACACAACACATATTGTTCAAGGCCACAAAGGAAGTCTATGTTATAGAAAGATAAGATACCATGTTCTTATCCCTCATCTCTTTGTTCAGACCATTATGCCTCTCTTTTTCTCACATAAACTGGTTATTCTCTCCATTTACATCATGACCATAAAGTGATTTTCTTGCTGGGAAGCCAGAGCATAGGGGACCAAGGCTTTAAGACATTTGAGACTTGGCAACAAACCTCTGCCATTATTTTATATTTCATTCATCATTTATTTAGACACTTTTTGTTTAAGAAGAGCTTTCTCAGTCACCTCCTGATTTTTCTTAATTTACCCTGAAAACTGTACTTACACCATCAGAGACTTATTACAGAAATTGTGGCACCATAGAGACAGCATTACCTCGTTGCAGATTTAAGGATGATGAATTGACAAACTATTAGAGAACAGGGGGCATTTGAATTAACAAAAGAACATGTAATGAAAAAAAGCCCTAAATGGATCAATGTTTCAACTTGACTTTTTCTTTTTTTAACATTTTCTTCAGCAGGAATGTCAAATACTTCTCTCTCATCAGTTTTCTAATTTCTGTTTTGCTTAAGCAAAAGACTAAACTCTCTCCATTTTATGTGCGAACTATTTTGATCCTAATGGCTAAAAATACATTTTTAATAGGAATCACAGGATCTGTATCTTTATACTACGTTACTGGGAAGACTATTCTTCAAACATAAATAGTTTTATCAGCAGCAGAACTCATGTCTAAACTCCTCCTCTTGGATGTGAGAGGCTGCAAGTGCTGATCAGGTCATACACAGCAGCTGACACACTCATTGTATAGGGGTTCTATGTGATCTGATATCACAGATGCATTTGCTCAGTATAGATATGAATTTGTCTCCTCTACCTGGCTAGGTATTTTCACCATATGTAACAGCTGTCATGTCTACCCTTCTATCAGATGTAATTCTTTAAAAATGGGAGAAATCTCTTGAAGAATTATAGAGGAAAAAGGAACTTTTAATGAAAACATGAGAACAGAACTTTAGGACTGTACATAGAAATATGCACAGAAATGTCTTTGATTACATGGTAAAGATTTCCATGGAATAAACTTGTAGCTCTAAATTAAAATACCCTTTTTCTAGTCTTTGGTGTAATGTACTACAGACTTTTTGGACGTCAGCTATTTCAGACTGACACACTTCAAAGAAGTTCCAGTTTCTCTAGAGAACCATGTAAGCAGCTTGTGCTAATTAGAGAGTCAGTTGACAACACAGTCACTTGCTTTATGGAAACAGAGGAATTAAAGGATTAAGAAAGCATAAAATATGCCAAAATATCATTATTTCATCCTTTTAATTCAAAATTTACAACTCAAGATGCAGGTGTTGGGGGTGACAATACTATGACTACAGAAGATGTTATCAAAGGCATGAAAACAAACCTGTTGCAGAGCTATATTTGCTCATTAACTTCTTTCACTTCTAATACTGCTAACAGGCCTAGTCAGCCCCACACACGTGTTACTTGTTATGTCCATTTGCTTTTCAGTTTGTTTCCCACACATCAAGCCAGACTACAAGCCTCAGGAGGGAGTTAGCTACTTCTCCAAGCTGCTATGAGTCACTGTGATGTCTGCTGCGTAGGCCAAATGAAGCCTGAATTTCTTGCTTCCACTAGGCAACAAGAACAGTGAGGAAAAACATGGCAAGGATGTGGGAAAAGATCAAAAAGCTGGGAACCCTCTCCCTCAATATCCCTACCTTCATGTCATAGCTGCCGTAGTGCATAGTGATGAACAAAGTACATCAAAGACTTTGTGCAGAATTCTAAGAGAGATTACAGTATTTCAATTTTCGAATTGTCAGTGTTACTTTAAATACTAATTTCTTGTGATAAATGAAAAAAATCTGTGCTACCTCAAAATAAGTACATATTCTTGCACCCTTTCAGAAGTACAAAGGCTTATGTCCACATATTTGTCCTTGGATGTGATCACACTTGTGACAGGTGTATTTCATTTAAACCTAAAATAAAGCTGTGCTAAATGATTATTTAGATAATAATTCAGTCTGTTATTATTGTTTGTATATGGATTCCTATTGTTTTGGTAAATAACACTCACATAAATCGTTGACTGAAATTTAAAACAGATTACTTGAGCATTTTTTGTTACAGATTATCACCTATTCAGGAACATCAGTGGAGGAAGACTGGAATCACAAACATCCCTGCCACACACGATTTTTGAACTTTATTCTGAAATCAAGAATTTTTCATTTGATCTTAGCTGTTGGGACAAGACACTGCAGTAATAAATAGTGTTTCAGGTTGAAAATGGTTGAGACCAGCCAGTTTAATAGTGATCATTAACCTGCTTTATATCATATTTTTAAGAAGCCTCCTTTGTGGACAAGAAGTTCCTAAGATACCGGTGTCTGGGAGGGAATTTTGGATGGGAAGGGGCATGAGGGGAAACTCCAGTACACACATATGCTTTGAAGGTAACAACAATTGTCAGAGAGAAAATACTGACTTTAGAAGTAATGCTGCATAGCTGCTTTCATATTCATTTAAAAAAAAACCTACAAACCTGGCCCTTCAGCAGTAAGGCCAACATTGAATACAAACTCTGGTTTTATTAATTATACCGGCACTGCTCATGAACAATACCTTCCTTCAGTTGCAGGAGACTGCAAAAATTCATTCCTGTGCATAGTGCTTTAAAACAGTCACCCCAATACTCAAAAAAGCAGATATAACTGATCCATCATATGCAACTCACAACTGATTGCAGTGTTCTTGCTGCCACAACTGTTTTCTGGGCATCTAGGAACAGCTGAAAGAAACACAAACCTGCTAATCACTGAGGTACACCTAGAACTCTACTGCTCTCAACATGTGTTGCAAATATAGTCTTTGCCTATTACTTTTAAAAGCACCACTTCTGTATCATCCTAGATGAATCACCAGCAGTTTGTTTTCATTCAAATCCCTCTCTCTGCCAGACACTGGAGTGACTAATGAACTGCAGAATCTGGTCTGTATAAAAATCTGACTTAGCAAACTAACTATTAGCATGTTGATGACACTACCACCCAAAATATCACAATAACAAAAGAGTAACAATTTACATGGGCTCTAAGCCAGTCTGCCCTTCCTACTCAAATTTCACAGAAGCATGACCTAATTTCTCTACAAGTAGTAGAATCTGGAGCTTTTTTTAATTCAGTTTCCTTTCCTTTCTTTATTTCAGCATATGTTTTTGCCACAGATGATTACAGTCATTAAGAAAAAAAAATTACTTATTTGGGTAGAATTAAATGCAGCAAGCATATAGCCTATAATAAGAATCTAAGAGTAAGAGAGAGAGCCTGGAGCATTCCTTGTCAACAGCTGAATATGTCCTGGTCATCTATCACTAGATTCCCACACCTCAAACCAATCAGATGCACTGCAAGTTCAGTTCTGTCTATATTTGAATCATGTTGTTCCTGTCAAAACCAAGTTTTCTGAAAATTCCAGCATCCTGCCTACTTTACAAAAAAGGAAGATTAAGGCAGAGAAAACTGAGGAAAGAGAGAGAAAGAAGTAATACAAAGTAATGCAAAGCAGTAGATTCAGTACTCCTATTTATTCTTTCTCGTAAACGGCCAAATGGATATCCACCAGAATTGGAAAGAACCATACAGCACTACCCTGTACAATTTCTCACAGCAAGGTAGTATAAAAGCTTGGGTTGTAATTCCACTTAATCCATTCTAGCTGGTATTTTCTAAAACCTCCAGGTACCTAAAGAACAGATGGTCTAGTGCCTTTTGTTTCAATATGTCAGACAATTCCACAGTTTATGACTGATTTCTGAGTAACAAGGACTTCCTGTTTTATATTTAAGAAGACAAATTTGAAACAGAGTTGCAGTGGCTACAATAATCACTTTTCCCCTTGTAAATATGTTATGTAAGTATTTAACTAAATAACAAAATATTAAGAAATATTTTTTTATTGAAAGCTTATCTGATAGCTAGTTATCATTGCACTTCAGACATACCCTCTCATACATTTGTATAGGACACTATACATGGCTAGCTATAAAAGTGATCTGAGCGGATATGAGTATTCCTCTGTTTACAGACAAGCTGTAATAATGGTATTCATTACTTTTATTCTGGACACTACCTGAAGAAAATCTGCAGCCAGTCTAGAGTCTGGCAGGCCACTGAAGGCAATGGAAAAGGCATTCAGGTTTCCATTCATTCAATACCCTGTTGCTCATTTGAACAGAATCCCATTAGAAATGGATAACCTAGCTTATCAAAAAGCCCACTTCTTTCCTCGTGAATTTGTACAGGCAAGCATTTAGATTTCAACACAGGTTTAGCCATTCACTTTTAAAAATCAAATGCTTAACAAATACCATTAAACAACACATCCAAAACATAAGGTCTGTTTTTCCAGATAAGGTAACACTGTGACTTATCACCATCTCTGTATTAAACAAGATTAAAAATGTCAAAAACCAATTTCTGCAAATGCTTCACCTCTTTGTTTTACCTGCTTCTGTGTACTTTAATCCTACTTTTACTTCTTCGTGCTTTGCTTTTGGTGGCGGCCAGACAGTCTGGAGTCTCCCTGGAGTCTTGTCATCTTGCTCTGAGGGACTCAGGTCAGGCTGTTAAAATTACGCAAGAAAAAAAATTAAAGTCTGCAGTATCATTGGATCCCGAAACAGCAACTGCCATGCTCAGCTCTACATGTGTAGTCCAGAATAGTTATCTGCCTCATTCTGCTGATTGAAACAGTGCTCAGTTGGTTGGAAGAGATACAATGAAACCAGTGTAGAAAAATAAATTTGAGGAGGAAAATAACATAATGCATGTGACATACAAGGACTTGGTGAAACTTCACATTGGTGTAAAAAGCTTTCTATCCTCTGGTGAATCACTGAGGTGGTCAAGAACAGTAGGATTTTTCCCTGTGTCTTTTTTTCCAGAGTGAAAGGACCCATCTGTGCTTCTCTTACAAGTAAACACTAGTGCAATTCGCCTAAGACATCATTTGACGATACAATTTTCTGGAAGCAGAGCTAGTTTATGAAATTCCTGCCCCACCCCCGGCAGCTTACTCAGTCCACATACCACGTAACACTGCCACATCAAAGTGCTGCTGCAGCTGTTAATGGGACTGCACTGTCAACTGGAATGCTAAAATAACCCTTTACAGGGCAGAAAAAAAAAAAACAACCAAACAAACAAAAAAAAAAAAAAAAACACCACCACCACCAACAGACTAAACAAGCATTCTTTTAGAGGTTTACGTTCTGTTTGGTTTTTTACATCCCTAACATTCCTGAAGTCTGATTTATAACAGGCTACTACGAGTAATCGCATAGACACAACTACAGCAACAGCAAAACCCCGGGTGAAAGTGGCTCCATAAATGGCCCGCATGAGCAAGGGAAGAGGAGGGGCAAGACCTTTTTACTCTGGCTTTGCCCTGAGAAAAAAAAGTTACATTTGTACTCGACCGGACATGGAGCAGAGGTCTATAAAGGCCAGTCCTGGCCACCCCTGCGCTCCATCCCGCTGTGGATGGCAGCTTCCCGGAGGGGCTCACGCCAGCCCAGCCCAGGGCACACACAGTCCGCAGCTGCTGAGCCTGCCACCGCCAGCGAGGACCTAGCTACTCCTCCCCATGGGTAATTTACTGCAAACAGGTATTATCAGTCTACCCAGGTGTCAGTCAAGATTTTTAAAAGTTTTTAATTTTATATAAGAAGAAAAATTTGAAAGAGAGTACAACCAACACAGCAAATTAACTTGAGTAGCTTCAGGTTTAGGGTTAAACCCTGCAAAATTAATAATTCCAATAATGGTCCCTCTAGCCAACAAGAACAATCTTCTGGACTGGTTATATCTGCCAAAGATGTAGCCATAAGAATTTTGGGTTGGGAACCACAACCCAAGGGTTACTCATTTAATTAAAGAGTTCAAATCACACTCAAATTCATTTATCGTTAAGCTTCTAAGAAAACTTAGCATAGATTTCTTTTTTTTTTTTCATTCCTTAAAAATATACTAACTAAATCTCCATATGCCTAGGAATATTAAGCTTCCAAATGCTTACAGTAATCCATAATTTTAGCCATCTAATGGGAATCCCTAAATTATACTTGGATAAGCTTAAATACTTATCAATATTTGCAAAGCCAAATCTTTGCATGCAAATAAGAAAAAAATTACTTTAAAGTCTATGTCTTGGATAAATTGAGTTGAAAATCATCCATGACTTCGTGTATCAGCTCTTATCATAGAATTATTCCTAAAGGTAAAAATGAAATATTACTTTTAAAAATAAAAAACTCAATGAAAGAAAAACAGAGTGAGATTGACAAATTATTAAATACTCCTACAGTAAATATTTGCAGCGCCAAACCTATTTAAAGCCATACTTAACCTATGGGCAACTGTTTTGTAGTGATCTTTTAAAATCAGAAACCAATCTTTGAGTTCTCACTTCTAATTGAAAAGCTGTGACTATCACCAGTTCCCACTGAATTCTACTACAGCTGACGATGGAGAATCTTGACAAATTAGCCCCACAGTTACTTCAGTTGGGAATCCAAAATTTGAGATTGCCAAGAGAAGAGGTCAATTCTAACATTTTGGCTTTAAGTCCCCACCAATAATTTTTAAACAATAAATTATTTTTTATCCATCTACTTCCAGATCTTAGGAAGAAAAAGTAATTCAACCTACAGATTTGTCTGATGCTCCATCCCCAGGTTTTGATTTTGACCTTTCAAATACAGCTTTCAAAGACTCTTTCTCATTTCTCATTTTGCGTTTTATGGCTTCCAGCTCTGAAGTATCCGCAGTTGTTTCTTTTTTGGGAGGCCGTGTAAATAAAGCTTTGAAGACGTCCAGTGCAGATTCCGCAGGGCTTGATTTTATTTCCTCAGAGGGAAATCGTGGTTCTGTTTTGCCAGAGGCTTTGTTCTCTTGAGCTTCATCACTGTCCTCGGTCTCCCCAGATCCCTCACCAGAGTCCTCGGTTCTATCTTCATTCTTAGAGACGTCTATGTTTAACAAGTGTGAGAGCTGTTCCAGGAAAGTAGGACTTGTTTTAGGTTCAGTTGATTTTTTTTTAGTGGTCAAACCTGATGTAATACTGGATTTCTTAACAGGCTGTCGTAATTTAAGCAGAGCTAAATCATTCTCCCTTGGTTTAATTTCTGTAACAGTTTCCCCATCCTCTGTGGTTAGTCCCTTTTTCCTCACACGTAGTCCACTAAAGAAAGCGGGCAGCTGGAAAGTCTTCTCAGCCAGGGCTGTTTTTTGTGGCGATGTATTATCAGCTGAAGGTCTTTGTTCTTCATCTGGAAGTTCTCGAGGGCATTCCCCTGTAGCAAGCAAGTGACTGAACTGCTCATCCATTAATATTTTGTCTTTTTGATTGGAGTCATGCTCCAGAATACCATCCAGCTCTTTTGGGAGCTGCTTAGAAATTGGTGGGTGTAACTCAATGTCATCTGTATCCATAGTGTCATCACTGTTGCTGTGCCCTTCTGATTCTGGCTCTTCCTTATTTTGCTTGTTATCGTCCAAAGCCCCAGCAGACAAAGCAGCATTATTTAGCCCAGATTCGCTTGTATTGTTTTCATCGGTGTCTAGGTCCTTACTCTCCGTGTCCGATTCTGTATCACTTGTTGTATGAACCAAAGTACCTTGTACAAGAATCGCGTCCTTGCCATCATCGTCGGATTCAGACAAAGAAGTCTGTACAAACCTTAAATGGTGAAGTAATTCATTTTGCTCAGCTAACTCCGGTTCCAGGTCAGTTTGCCTGCCAGACATTGGGTCAGCTTGGCCACTGGGACTATTCCTGCCACGCTGATTTTCCAAGTCATCATTACAATCATTATCATTCCTCTCATGCCAGGTGTCAGCATGAGTATTTCTATTGGTGTACAAAGGTTGAAATGCTTTAAGCACTGTTTCTTCTTTGGAAGCAGTGGATTCAGATTTAGCTGTAAATCCAAAAAGTTTTTTCACAGAAAATGTAGTGAAAGGATCAGGTTCGTTTTCTGCTGTGCTCTCCAGGTCTGCAAGCTCACGACAACCGGGCACTGCACTTTCTCCTTCCATGTTGCATGCAGTGCAGAGTGGGTTTGCTTCCAGCAGCGCTCCTGGCTGCTAGACGAGCATTTCCTACCCGCACTTGGCGAGCAGACAGAAGCCGGGACAGGCCCTGCGAGGGCTGCCAGCCTCCCCCCAGGTCACCCTGCCCCTCCCTCCGCTTCCAGCCCAGGTGTCCCTCGGATCTGCAGACTCCACCTCGGGAGCGCCACAAAGACCCACCGTGAGAGAAAAAAAAAAAACAAAAACAAAAACAAAAAAAAACCCAAAACACAAACAACAAAAACCACAACCAAACAAAACAAAACAAACAAAAAACCCAACAAAACAAAACAAAAAAAAAAAAACAAAACACCAAAAAACAAAACTCAAACAAACAAACCCCACACAACCGACCGACCAACCAAAAAAGTTCCCAGCAGCGTCGGCAGCTCGCTCCTCTGCAGCGGGGGCTCGCTGTCGCGACAGAGCCGCTGCCGCCCCGCCCGCCCGGAGACCGCGGCGGGGACCCCGCGGGCCGCGCGCCCCTCCCGGCGCGCGCGGGCGCCTACGCCGACGGGCGGCCGCCTCCCGCGCGGGGCCGGGCGCGCTCGCGCTCTGCCACTTCCGCGTGCCGGCGCGCGGGCCGCGAGCGGCCGGAGCCCTGGCACGGCACCTCCGCCCCCCGCCAGCGCTCCCGCCGCAAACCCATCACCGCCCCCAAATCCCGAGTGGAAACCCCCAGCGCAGCCACCCCGGCCCCCGGCCGGCCACAGCCAACTTGGGAGAGCGCCCTCGAAGAAAGAAGTGAGGGGGAAGAAAAAAAAAAAAAAAAAAAAAAAAAAAAAGGCGGCTCTCTTCCGATTTGCTGCAGGTTTCATCTGGAATGCAGATTTCAGCCTGCAGGGCCATGCACAAAAACCAACAAGACTGGTTTCATGTTACTGCTGCCCTAGCCCCGCAGAGAGCTGCCCGCGCCCTGCGCGCAGGTTCCGCCCGCGGGCGGCCGGCGCGCCCGGTCCGGCGCGGCACGGCACGGCACGGCGCGGCGCGGCACCCCGCACTCCGGCACACCCGCACCAGGCAGGCAGGCTGTCCCTCCGCGCTGCACCCGGGCTTGGGCTGTTCCACAGCAGAGCAATCTCTGCCGGCAGAGTTTTTGATAGCTTTCATCTACACGTACCGCCCCGGTAAGGCTGCAGGTGTGAGAGCTGTTTTACTTAATACCGGCAAACCCACCTGCAGGAAATCTTCAAAGCTGTAGAACTCAATATTAACAGAAGCTGTGTGGGATAGTAGTTTGGTTGTTTGGTTGGTTTTTTTATACCATATATATAAAGAAAGTACAAAATATTCTTAAGCACCTTTGATATTCAGAAAGTCAGTAACATTTAGGTCGGGTTCCAGTCAAAAGTCTTCATTTTTCTTCCTTACTTTTGGAACTACGAAGTCTTCAAATCTGCAGGGATTTATATTTTTCTTAGTTCCTGGCCTTTAAGAAGTTAGTTTACTCAAATTTCCAGTGGTACCTTAGAAACGCAAAGATACTTTTTTTTCTTTTTTTTTTTTTTAACCCAAGTTCCAGGGTCATTCTACAGTCAGCCATTTAGCTGTGATGAGTAATCTTAAACAAGCAACACAGGGAAAACTGTCCTTCCCGGGGAAATCAGCTGCAGATCACACCACTGTGTCAAATTACTCAAAAACATTTACTGAAAAGCTGAATATTACAGACAACAAACAACAACAAAGTATTCCAACACATTTACCTTTTGGTTTAATGTTTGAAAATGTAGACCATACAAAAAGTTTGTGTTTACCTTTTCAACATATAATGAAAGATCATTAAGTCAACAGCAAAAGTCATTGGTATCTCCTGCAGGAACAAAGTTTCCTGAAAATCAGACTGCAATACTAAGGGCTTAGATGAAGCTTGGAGACACCTTTTCAGTTACAGGGTTGCATGCACACCTATACACAAAGGGCACTGGAATCATTCCCATCTTTATCTGTGATTTAACAAAGAACAATGTCTTCTGCCTCCCCGCCTGCCATTCCCTGCAGTAAGCTCCAGACTTGCTCCTCCACTATGCTTAATCATCAGGTGCCAAGGACAGAAACGACTGACAGGCCATGGCTCCCGTGGTTTTCTAGGCTTAATATAGATTAATATCACAAAAGGAAGTTCTACATAAGGAAAGAGACACAGAGTCTTTATCACACCCTATGCCAACCTACTCCTATAATCCCAGGGTTAATAAAACAAGTGAAAGGCAGCTACCTCAGCACTGGTGATTTCCCTTAAAACAAGATTTCCTGAAGGCAAATCTACAGCAATTCTAAATTTCATTTTATGACAAAATAACCGGGGCAAAGTGACTCTACTGAACCAAAAAAGTTTTCTACATTTAAATTTACATCTATTTTTCTGTTCAACCACAGGAATAATTGTTCATTGCCCTAATAATTTCTGTGGTTATGCCTTGCTTATTTATTTATGTACCTATTTATACGGGGTTTGGTTAACTTACAATGGATAAACATTATATTTTTCAAGAACAGTTTTGTTGGTCACTAACAAAAAACATACCTAGATGAACAACTTCATGGTACCTTTTAAACTAAGCATACTTATTCAGATTATGCCAAAATATTTATTTATCTGTTTATATTGACAACCCACACTTAGAATAAAACTTCTCTGTAATAATGTAGGGTCACCAGGCTGTAATAGTCCTATGAATATTGTACATAGTTTACTGACAATAGCCACTATCTAATTATTTGAGATTTAAATAGTATATTAGTATATATGAAAATTTTATTTAAAAGTGGATTTAAAAGCAGGAAAACCATGCTTCACACCTAAACAATATCCCAACAAAATTTATGATACAACAATCAAATTGCTGGTGAAAAGGATGGTGCTTTGAGTGTGAGGCCAAAGTTACGCAATGTATTGAGATGCTAGAAAACCCAGAATTGAACACTGAATAATTAAAACTCCAGAAGTAGAAATATACCTTATAAAACCAGAGGAAATTCCACTGGCCTGCAGAAAAATTACACTGCTCTATATGTACCTCTTTTCTTGATAATGGACTCTAGGAAGTGAGAAGAAACTTTCAAGCTTTTTGAGCATTAGGATGAACAAAGGAACTCATCTCTATATCTGTCCCTGGAGAAAAGACCAAAAACTGGAAGCCTGCCAGGCTCTCAAATTCACCACGCAGTCCCTAAACCCCCAGCCCCAAATCACACCTTTGCAAGGACTTTGTTTCTCACAGTTCAATATGATCATCCCAGTGGTCAGTCCCCTGTTGAGGAACTGGATAACTGATAATGAAATACACGTTTGTACTTAGCAAATAGAGTGTTTCTGGGTAAAATACATACATTGGTATGTGCCCTTAATATTTTTACACAAGAAGGAGATCATCATATTGTGATGTGAGAGATGGAGACAGAGCTAGTTTGTTGGCAGAAGTGGTTTATTGCTGGGTAGACCTATCTCATAAGGAAAGTCTCTCTGAATGGGCCGTGTGCTGGTTTTGGCTGGGATAGAGTTAATTTTCTTCATAGTAGCTAACATGGGGCTGTGATTTGAATTTGTGCTGGAAACAATGTTGATAACAAGAGGATGTTTCAGTTCCTGCTGAGCAGTGTTTACACAGAGCCAAGGCCTTTTCTACTTCTCACCCCACCCCAGCAGCGAGTGGCTGGGGGGGCACAAGGAGTCAGGAGGGGACACGGCTGGGACAGCCGACCCCAACCCACCACAGGGATGTCCCAGACCATGTGGCGTCATGCTCAGCATATACAGCTGGGGAAGAAGGAGGAAGGGGGGGACATTTGGGCTGACGGCGTTTGTCTTCCCAAGTCACCGACACACGTGATGGAGCCCAGCTGTCCTGGGGGTGGCTGAACGCCTGCCTGCCCATGGGGAGTGGTGAATGAATCCCTTGTTTTGCTTTGCTTGCGTGCATGGCTTTTGCTTTACCTATTAAATCATCTTTATCTCAACCCATGAGTTTTCTCATTTTTACTCTTCTGATTCTCTGTCCCATCCCACCGGTGGGGAGTGAGCAAGTGGCTGTGTGGGGCTTAGTTGCCATCTGGGCTTAAACCATGACAGGCTGTAATACTGCATGTGAAGGAAGAAACAACTTCAATATCTCTAGAAAAAATCAGTCATGATAATGTTACAAGTCTTTTTACCTAATAAAACCGACAACTCTGGTGCCTCAGAAAAGCCCCTAAAACCTGTCATAGCAACTTTCAGGGCAGTCAAAGCACGTATTATACAAAAGGACAGTCATTCCTTACAGTTTAAAGCACATTTAATAATCCACACCCTTTCTGACCTACATTTCATCACAGACAGAGGTCACACCTATAGCTTGCTCCTGTTCTGGAGACGTCTGAGAGCTCCCCTGGAGCAGGTTTTAAAACTGGCTTTGAGAAAACAGATAGTAAACCAGACCAAAATAATCTGCTTTCTATCGCTATCATATGGCAGGGCTCAAGGCTTCCTGACCCCATATCTATTCAGACTGTCTTTTCAGATCACTGTAATAGCAAACTAGAGAAACATGACCAGGGCTTGAAGACACATTCTACAAAATAGCCAAGTGGCTAAACTGTACAGAAAACCAACTTTCTACTGTTTTTTCAACATGATGAGCCTTAAAGCAAGAAAATTTTGCATAATTTCTTGAAAATAATAATAGAATCAAGTACGCACAAATTGTGTTAGGCTTCAGAAGAGCCCCAGGAAGCAGCAGGCTGTGGTTGTGGCTCAGGTGGTTTGAAATGATCTGAAGCTCAGCTGATGCAGTCCTGCCCTCTACCCTTTCCCCAGCCCAGTGCTTACTGTGCTGACTGATAAAGATCTTAACATTCTTCTGCTCTCCTGTCTATCTCTCGCTGTTTATCTGGTTTTATACTTAGTATTTTAACTCCCTAAAAGCTCTAAAATAGAAAAGGCAGAGAAGATGGAAGGAAACCTGCAAATCCTGGAATTTCTCTCAGCCTTGTTATCTCATTATAGACCATTATGTGAGCAATTTTCCTGAGGTTTGAGGATCTGAGTATCACCAACATAATCACTTTAAATGTAAGTAATTAAGTTTAGACACAGCAACAGAAACATAGATAAGACAATTCTTATCAAAATTCAGCATTACATGATGTTAGCAGAATGAGTGGACACCAGATACATTTGGTGTAGGGGGCTGTGGAAATGCAATGTGCTCTTTAACGTCTTCATCAAAATTCTGC